ATTACCCATTCAAGCCGTCTCCAGCCATTTTTAGTCTCAAAGTTGGTTCTATAAGTAAGTATAACTACATTTGGTATGTAACATTATTTCTATAGTATATAATTAACATGAAAAATATCTCAGACAACCTCTAATTTTACCAAACATTCAAAAATTTAAGAAAGCTGTGCCTCTTGCAAACCATAAAATTTACCCTTTTAATGCTAGTATAAGTAAAATTAGTGTGTTAAATTTCTTCAGATTTTAACTAGATTTGGTATCTATATCTATCATTGTAGTAAGTGTATATTTGAATACTTCAATTATCAGTAACTTACATGAACATTAATTTTTTTTTTTTGTAACAAATTATTTAACATGTTAATAATAGCCTAACATGGACCATTTGGAGTTGAAACATTATAATTCTAGTAATATGTAGTTTAATAAATTTCTCCCACTTTTGACCTTAAGATTTTATTGTACTTTATGTAGTCTTATCAAACATGATAGACCATCAAAGAAATTAAAAATTATAATTGGTCAATCGTAAACATTTTTATGTCTTAAATGCCTATCTGTTTGTTCATTTACTTTCATCTTGCAAATATCTCCATTAGAATTTTCTCAGAAATGACTAGGATCACCAAACAGTCAAAAGCAAATATCTACTGATTTTTCTAGGTAACTTTAATTTTGGGAGCATACAACATTTCTGACGTCAATCAATTATTTATATCTTGTATGAAACATACATTTCATACTTTACATGCAATACTGTAAGTCTTTCTTTCTTTTTGCAAGATGATTTGTGATAACCTAGAAATAAATTAATGAGGTAAATATTTGTGTTTACTGTATTTTTTGGAATATAAGATGCACTAGTGTATAAGATGCACCCTTATTTTGAAGACAAAGTTTTGGGGGGAAAAAAGCTAGTCGCATTTGAAAGACTTTTATTGAACAAAAATTCAATTTCATACTTTAAAAATTAGTATATATTGTTCTAATAACAAAAGAGCTCAAAACATGAAAATAAGAAAATACCATAAATCAAAAAATTTTGTTTGGTTCAAAACCTACAAAATATTTAATGGTTTCATTGTAATCTATTTTTTTATTATTTAGGGAGCATTATAAATAGTTATGTTTTTAAAAGAAAAAACTACTATTGTTATAAATAACACATTCAGTTGAACAAAACTATGCATGCCTATTTAAATATATTTACACATGGCTTGTGTATATCATATATATACATATGTATTCTTCATATCTTTGGTGTATAAGATGCAAGCAGATTTTGACATCAAATTTTGGGGTAAAAAAGTGTGTCTTATACACCGAAAAATATGGTACTCAAGGTATTGAAGGATATTTAATAAAATTATTTCCATAAAAAAAAGTCCTAAACAGAACGAAGAGAAAACAATAAGTACTTAATTTAAAATAAAAATACTCCACACTGTATATAAACATAAGAAATTGTACACTTTTAACCTTGAAAATGTTCTTGGGTACCACTAAAAGGCCGTGTTGTAGTAGAAAGTTTTATTTATTCTAGACAAACGTGAATACACCATAAAGAGGCAACAAACTACAAATAGCTTCTATAAACAAAGTTAGTAAAAATACTTACTATACAGATACGAGATTGCATGTTAGCCGATAAGTTCACACGACTTAAAATGGACACACTAGTTTCATAGTTAAAAGACACTTCATCCAACTGAAGAACTGGAGGTGAAAGTTGTTCAGGATCTGGAAACCGAAGAGTCACAATAGCTTCTTTCTCTACAGCTTTTAGTTCTGGTCTATTGAATAAACAGTATTAAATATATCCACAACTCAACTGTTGAATAAACAGCATTAAATATAGCCACAACTCAACTGTTGAATAAACAGCATTAAATATAGCCACAACTCAACTGTTGAATAAACAGCATTAAATATAGCCACAACTCAACTGTTGAATAAACAGCATTAAATATAGCCACAACTCAACTGTTGAATAAACAGCATTAAATATAGCCACAACTCAACTGTTGAATAAACAGCATTAAATATAGCCACAACTCAACTGTTGAATAAACAGTATTAAATATAGCCACAACTCAACTGTTGAATAAACAGTATTAAATATAGCCACAACTCAACTGTTGAATAATCAGTATTAAATATAGCCACAACTCAACTTGAATAATCAGTATTAAATATAGCCACAACTGAACTGTTGAATAATCAGTATTAAATATCACCACAACTTGAAGAACTACAAATTAATCACAACTTAAATATTGTTAAGTGTTCAATCACAGTATAATCAAAATTTTACGCCAACCTATTATGTGAAAGAACATTCACCAAAATTGGTTTAATTCTAAAAGTAAAAAAAAAATAAGATTCAATACAGTTAAAGTATTTTGAACGAAATATTTATGTCCAATGTAAACTATAAAAATTACAAATATAAACATTACAGCCTAAACATTTCAAAACTTTAGCAGTTGTTTCGTTGAACAAATATAGTGATATCTCGGCAAAGAAAGAACAGATTATAATTTTATATTATGTCTTGTCAATATCTGTGGTATGTATTTATAATTGGTTGAACATTCTGAAACCCATATAAGGGAAGACAAAAAAAAAATATATGAATAACAAATGAGAAATATGTAACATGGCACACAGAGATGAAGATTGGTAATTTATTTAAATATGTGTTTGAAATTGTGAAATTAAAATTGAAGTATACAATTTGGAATTATAAACTACGTTTTGATGCCAAGCTTATGAACATACATTGATAACAAAGTATTTTAATTTCATTTGGAATGTAATTCTGTAAAACAAAGTCGTGACATGCACATATTGACCCTCCCATATGCAATAAGCCATATCTACTTATGTAAATTCTTCATTGTTTAACCCCTCTAGCCTGGTGGAAGTATATTGCCATTAATAAAAATTAATAACTTTTTAATTACACCATATCTGCTGAAAGAGACATTTCAAAGCTGAGCATGATATCCATTGAACATATTCAAGCCCAAGTTAGATTTATACTGGTAAACTTACAACCGTATCTAAAACCAGTAACAAGCATTTGTGTTCTGAAGGTATCTATAAAAGTAATACGCTTGCATTTGTCTGTCTCGAACTTTTTCCCGCAAATTTCTCAATCAAATGCTACAGTTTGCACATTTTGTTCCAAATTGTATGCTTATCACTTTGTGAACACGCATTCAGATGCTTCTGCATATTCAGCTAAGTTTGCCTTCATCACAACTTTATATTTACTTTACAATAATTTAGCTTTGGTTCGTTTCATAGACTGCTATTAACACATTTTAGCTACTTTTTTTCTTTATTACAGGTTTTATTCTTTGTTTTTGCGAATTTCTTTGTTTCAAATCATAAAACTGTCATACACTGAATGTTCAGAACTGTTTCGTACTCTGTATACTATTACAAGTACCATTACTTTATTGTTTACTTTATGTGTAGTTTCATTAAATAGTTATGTCTATTTGAGTTTGTTTGTCTGACTGCATACATTTTTTTCAGATAGACCAAGATTTATAAGTCTAACATATAATGCCTGCAAGAAAGCGTAGCTTACAGGATGTGCACGAAAATGATAGAATAAGAAATATTCCAGCAAAAATCAAATGTTTTGCGAGACCCAGCTGATACTCTATTATTCACTTATTGACACTTTCATAAACAGTATTGGTTAGAATGTTTAATATATCTAATTTTATTATTTTTAGTTAAATATATATTTAACACAACCGAAGTCGTACTTACAGTTTTTCAAGCATTTTGATTTTACTCTGAACTAGGGAAGCTCGTTTAGCATTGTAGCGAAACTTGTCAATGAATTCCTGCAAGAAAGGTTCCAATATATATTTCTACACATATAAATATAATGATGATGACAATCTAATGGAAAAGTATGGTTTGGCTGGAGAGTGTTACAAGATAATTTTATATCTTAAGAAATATGTTACTATTCTTACAGCACATTTATTTGTTCCTTTTTTTTGTGTTATCTACATTTAACACATTTTTGTTTAACCAATTGTATTTTCATTTGATTGGTGGCAATGTTGAATTTTACTAAAATAGTCTACATCTGTTACAAATAATTTTATTTTCTGAGGGAAAAATAAAAAAGCTTACGTTTTTACGAACCTAACGAGTTTCCTTCTGAATAACATTTACCTTGCTTGCACATTTACGTGTTTAAGATAAAAATCAGGTTCAAGGACAAAAAAAAAATATAGAAAACTGCATCGTATTTTGGAAAGTCAAGAAATAAAAATACAGCAAGGAAAAATAAGTAAAAGAGTACAAAAAGAAAACTTGTGCTGTGTTTTAAACAAACTGATCAATTAAATCTTTTCCCTAAACCCAAACAGCGCCTACCTGAACGTGGGCCTTAAACTGTTGTTGAGCTTCATATTCTCGCTGTTGATTTTTCAGTTTCTCAGTCATAGTCTTAACAAACACTTCATAGTTACCCCGATAACATTCTAATCGATGACTATGGAAGTGTATAATGTCAGTTGGTACGGCATCTAGAAACTTTCGGTCATGACTTACAACAAGAAGAGTAGTGGGCCAGTTCTAAAACGAAACATAATGAACGACTAACTCAACTTGTTTGGAATATATACGCAGTCTTCGATATTTAAGCATGTTAAAGTTTAAAGCTATTATTTTAACAATAAGATTGGAATTTTAAACTTTTAAGTAGATGTACACAAGATTTATATTTTTTAAAAAACAGATTTTGCTAAACGATAATATAAAAATTATGGAACACATTTTAACATCATTATAAAACTTTTATACTGAACACAACTTAAACACACAAAAACATCTGTATTACACTTTAAGGGCAAAGCTACTAATTTTGAAGTACTAACCACAAAGAAAGCAACCAGTCAGCAACATCCTAGTACCTACCATCTACACTAAGGGAAAGACTGTTCCTCTTATAATGCACCCACGGTTTAACCCTATTATCTCAGATCAATTAAAATGCTTACGACAACTTTTTGTAAGTTACATTCAAAATATAATTAAACAAGTATTATCAATGTTTGTTACTAAACTTGGCATTAACAAGTAGTCTATAATTCAACATTTTAGAGTAAGTTTTAATTCAAAAAGAAGTATTTAAATAAATTCTATACCTTTAATTTTTAGTTGCAGCATACAGCTTATAGAAGGGCTCAAGTCTTTTCTTTTCTTATTTTTTCCCAAGTACAAACTTTTAGCTTCGCCATCTCTTGACAAATTAGAGCTATAATTACAGTTTTGGACTCGGAAGGGGGGGGGGGGTTAAACCCTTTCAAATCGATATAAATGACCATGCCGAAGGTCTCAGATTAATTTACTCTAATCCTGCCTAAAAGATTTTCATAAGTGCCACAGCTATTGAGGATTCCCTTTTGTTTATATCACTCAACACATTACTCCTTTCTAGATTTTTTTTATTCCTTTACACGAGTTTCAGTGTCAAAATAATTAAATACACAAACTATAGATAATGACAGGCCAGAATACAAAATTCGAATATCCTAGACAGTGACATAACTACAAAAGATGGGTCTCCCCACACAAGTAATTGGGCCACCCTACCTTTATTTTTCTATAACTGTAGTTACAATTCTGACCGATTTGCTTTTCATGAGCTGAGAGACAGTGCAAAGTACAATAAAATCATAAAATTAAATTAAAACAAACATTAATAGGTTAGAAGCTAATAGGCCATTGGGATAAATAATAATTATTATAATTTGCAGGCATTTTAGAAAAAAAAAAGACAGTATTATGTATTTTATATTTGTCAACTTATTTTACAGTATATCGACAATTTCATTACATTTATTGTTAGAATAAAGAAAATATTACATTAAGAATTAACTTTTCATAAAAAAACAAAAAACTTTTGATTTTCATCCAGGAAGTTCTAAGGGTTATGAAAACGAAATATGAAAACTGCAAGATAAAAAAAAAGTATTTTTATTTTTAGCATGAAAATTACCTTTCACTCTGACTCGTTTAAGGTCTCTTAATTCTCATTCAAATCTTTATTAAAAAATACTGATTTTTTTTGTACAATACTTTTTAATGTTTACTAAAAGCTTGTCAAATTTCATTATGGTACATATAGTACAATTCAGAATTAAGGTGAAGATTACTAACAGACCGCTGATGTTTACACAGGGCTAAAAGTATTTGCACAGACTGAAACTCAGCCCACCAGCTCCAAATATCAGAGTTCTACTTCAGGGCTCACCCGTGCCCTCAGACAAATACACTCATTCAGAAACTCTACTACAGGGCTCACCCGTGACTCCCAGAATAAATGCACTCATTCAGAAACTCTACTACAGGGCTCACCCGTGACTCCCAGAATAAATGCATTCATTCAGAAACTCTACTACAGGGCTCACCCGTGACTCCCAGAATAAATGCACTCATTCAGAAACTCTACTTCAGGGCTCACCCTGTGACTCCCAGAATAAATGCACTCATTCAGAAACTCTACTACAGGGCTCACCCGTGACTCCCAGAATAAATACACTCATTCAGAAACTCTACTACAGGGCTCACCCGTGACTCCCAGAATAAATGCACTCATTCAGAAACTCTACTACAGGGCTCACCTGTGCCCCCAGACTAATACATGCATTTAGAAACTCTATTACAGGACCCACCCATGCCACCTGACTAATATACTCAGTTAGAAACTACTTCAGTAAATTAAAAACAAACAAGCAATTTACATGGCTTTTTTACAATAATTTCAGTCTTCTTTTGCTTTTTTTAACTATTTATGTTACAAAACAGAAAAATAAATACCATCTTCATTCTTAAACACGAAGCTTATGAGTATTCAACGAGAAACATTTGGTAGTATCTTCTATATTTGATATCCATTTAAAAGAACTACTTAATAATTAAAAATACATGTATAATACAAAAAACAGATAGATATTTTAATTTAAAATAAAAACACAATAAATCACAGATATTGGGAAGGTCCACGTTCCTTCTTTCGGAATAGCTAGAGAAAATATGAACTTGGAATCAATTCCAGTATATCAAAGGAGGTGTACCTTCCAAAATCACACAGTTTATCAAGTTTTAGTTAATATTACCTGCAAATATGTTTCTAACCATATAATGGCTTTCATGTCCAACATATTAGTGGGTTCTGTAAAGACAAAAACAAAAATCAAATCAAAATAATTATAGTATAATCAAAAACGTTACACCACCATATATTCATACCAGGTACACTAAGAATGTATTCTGATAACTCAGGTTTCCCCAAGTTACAGAAGCTGTAAAAACAAGGCCATATAACAGTGTAACCCACATTTTTAACACTACATACGTTAATTGTTTTAATTGTCACTGGGACTTATACGATTTTCTAAAAACTTCTCTGCTCTAAATTATTTGTGCAGCAAATTGTTCGTGGGTTCATAACTTTGTTAGTTACAGGGTTCGTAATAAGTCAAAATAACAATGTTTTGGGTCTGTTTTTTTTTTTTTTTTTTTTTTTTTTTTTTTTTTTTTTTTTTTTTTTTT